CTAATATCTCTTTGTTTCTGCAGATATTTCTAATTCTATTTGCAGAGTGAAAGGACTGGCCAGAGAGAATCCCAGGTGGAAAAGCACGGAACTGTGGCCACTTTTACACAATGGCCACAGAACATAATACACGTAATACATCCAGCCTTCTCAATCAGAATCAAACCTCTTTATGCACAGCCCGTCCTCCCTCCGATATCACTGGGGTTTGCTTGTTTATTTTAATTTTAATTAAAAAGCCTTTCCTTTCTCCTGGGAGTGACAACTGGAAGAGGAAGATGAAACCATAGGAAGATTTTCACATCCTCAGCTCATGTTCAAAAACCATTCTGGCCTAACTAGAAATAAAGTTGATCAAAACCACACAGCCATCCAACTCAGGTGGGTAACAAGAGAAGAAGAACAGAAACAGGTATCTTTAGAAAGTACTCTGCCTCAGAGAGATATTTTTTTCTTAATGATAATATGTGCAAATTATCCAAAATCCATTATTCCCTCATGCCTCTCTGGTTTTTACGGTGACTTAGTAACCTGTACTTCATTAGGCACATCTTCGGGGCCTTAAATTAAATAAAATTAAATAGTAAACTGCTTCCAAATATATGGAACAACTGCTAATCTGGAGACAAGGATTGTCCTGTTCACTGATCTTTTAGCTTGCCCTACTTTTTCTCCATCAGGATCTCACAAACAGCTGGTGCTGCTGACTACAGTGGGAATTAATCTTCCATAATATAGCCACTTTTTTCAGGGCTGTGCCCATGACTTCCCAGAAAAACATTTTGAGCTTTGTAATTTTCTTTCTTAATGACTCCATCACCCAAATTCCTGGTGCCAAGACCTCACATCATTTCATTCCGGCAAAAGCAATTAAATGGTTTGTACAAGTTACATACAAACATTCAGTCTCCTTTCTGGATCACCCCTGCATTTGTCCCTGCTGAGTGGAGGCGATGTTAGAGGATTAATGTCTTAGGTCTATTAAAAAAAAATCAAATAACTGGTTCACTGTGGACAAAACATCTGGTTCTGGTAAAAATGAAGCTTAAGATAAATAGTCACTCCTGTTACACTGTGATTTTAGTCTACCATATTTCTAGGATGGCTTGCCCTCAAGTAAATGTGTGTTTCAAGCCTTCAAGCCCAATCCTCCAAGAGGCTAGTATTTTTAAATGGCATGTAAAAGCCACAGATTTCATACAAGCATCAGTTCAGTTCAGTTCAGTCACTCAGTCATATCTGACTCTTTGTGACCCCATGGACTGCAGCACACCAGCCTATCCTGTCCATCACCAACTCCCGGAGCTTGCTCAAACTCATGTCCATTGAGTCCGTGCAGCCATCCAACTATATCATCCTCTGTCATCCCCTTCTCCTCCTGCCTTAAATCTTTCCCAGCATCAGGGTCTTTTCCAATGAGTCAGTTCTTCGCATCAGAAGGCCAAAGTATTGGAGTTTCAGCTTCAATATCAGTCCCTCCAATGAATATTCAGGATGGATTTCCTTTAGGATTGATTGGTTGGATCTCCTTGCAGCCCACAAAAGCATATAAATAGGAAAATATCCTGTCCATTTGGAGTAGGATATTTAAGCACAAGCCCTGCTATCAGCCAGCAGCCTTATGGCCCCTCTGCCATGGGCATCCCATTAGGTCTTGATCAACAAGTTCCCAACTTGAATTATTTTATTGCTTCTTTAAAAACCATACACCCAGACATTGGCACATGTTAGTGTGTAAAGTGAAGTGAAAAAATGACACAGTTTGTAGTGACTACTGTGGGCTGCTCCCCCACCTCACAAAATCTTTCCAGTCCTTCCCCACTGGGTTGCAGACTTGAGGTTTGGGTGGGACTAGCCCCACCCCCAATGCTAGGGATGGGGAATGAAGTATATGAAACCCTCAGTAGCTGGCATCCTCTGGGGTTTAGTGATTGGCTGAGGTGAGCATGTGACCTAAGCTGATCCAATCAGAGGGAAGCCAAGAACCTTTGCTCATTGGTTGGTTGTGGGGGCAGTTCCCTTACAGAACAAGCAGTCTGCAAACAGGGCTAGAATTGCTAATGCAGCTTAGCGGGAAGCCAGCCCAAGTACTAGAATCATCTCCAAAATTTTCTCGACATTCTTTGCATCCCAAGAACTGCTGGCTGTTAGGGCTGGCACAGATCAGATCTCTAGAGTCAATTCCCTTTGCTTCTTTCTCCCTTCATTTTATAGATGAAGGGACCAAGCCTGGACAAGCTAGAGTGACTTGTTCCAAATTACACAGCCCTGCTATTTTGACTCAGCTTTTATCCAGAGTCTATTTGTTCCCCTCCCAACAAATTTTTCTCATTCAATTTATATGTAGAAATAGTTTCTTATCGTTAACACATTTGGATCAATGACCAGGGGAAATGATATTATATTAATAGCAAGGACAAAATCAATTCCTTGGACCCATGTAACCAACAGCCTGGATAATTAAAGTGTGCCTTTGGCGGAAGGGTAGAATGCAGAGCCTAATATGGGGAATAATACAGTTTTGTATCTAAAATTATGAAAAACTGCCTGCGTGCGTGCTTAGTCACCTCAGTTGTGTCCACCTTTGACCTGATGGACTGTAGCCTGCCAGGCTCCTCTGATCATGGGATTCTCCAGGCAAGAATACTGATGTGGGTTGCCATGCCCTTCTCCAGGGAGAACTGCCTATGGTAACAGAATTACCTGGAAAACATTGACTCTTTATTTCATTGTTTCTGTTCATATTTCTCTCTGTTTCTGATACAAAATCCAGGGGGATATGGTCTCAAACCCATTTCCTCTGGCTTCAGGGCACACAGCTAGGTCACACTCCCAGTGTCCTTTGGGTCGCATTACAGATCTGGGGCCAAGGGGATGTGAGCAAAGAGGATGTGATCCACTTCCTACCCTGCCCTTCAAAAGCACCCACATGCAACTGCCCATGCTGTTTTCCTGAACCAGCATCTAGGTTACATGCTGAAGAGGGGAGACACACCCTGGGAGGAACCTGAGCCCTAAGACTACTGAGGAGCAGAGTTGCCCACAGATCAGAAAGACCAGCCAGCTTTGAAGGAGGGGAAATGTCTTTGCTATTAAACCACTGAGATTTCAGGGTTGATCAGGTTCTCAGGGTAATATACCCAGGATCTCCTTAACTATACCAATCCAAGAAGATTGCTTCTTCTTAAAAAGATAATGCTGAAGCCTCCCTTAGCCCAGAACAGACACCAGTGATAAAAGCACCCACATGCAACTGCCCATGCTGTTTTCCTGAACCAGCATCTAGGTTACATGCTGAAGAGGGGAGACACACCCGGGGAGGAACCTGAGCCCTAAGACTACTGAGGAGCAGAGTTGCCCACAGATCAGAAAGACCAGCCAGCTTTGAAGGAGGGGAAATGTCTTTGGTATTAAACCACTGAGATTTCAGGGTTGATCAGGTTCTCAGGGTAATATACCCAGCATCTCCTTAACTATACCAATCCAAGAAGATTGCTTCTTCTTAAAAAGATAATGCTGAAGCCTCCCTTAGCCCAGAACAGACACCAGTGAGGGTTAGATTTAAAACAAGCATGCCAAGAGAAAAAGGAACCCTCCTACACTGTTGGTGGAGATGCGGATTGGTACATCCACCTATGGACAACAGTATAGAGGTTACCTAAAAAACTAAAGATAGAATTACCATATGATCCTGCAATCCCACTCCTGGGCATTATCTAGAGAAAATCCTAATTCAAAAAGCTACATGCACCCCAGTGTTCATAGCAGCACTACTGCAGTAGCCAAGACATGGAAGCAACCTAAATGTCCACGGACAGCTGAACGGATGAAGAACATGTGATATACATTACGGAATAATGCATGCATGCATGCTAAGTCACTTCAGTTGTGTCTGACTCTTTGCAACCCTGTGGACTGTAGCCCACCCAGTCTCCTTTGTCAGCAGGATTCTCCAGGCAAGAATACTGGAGTGCATTGTTATGCCCTCCTCCAGGGTATCTTCCCCACCCAAGGATCAAACCCACATCATCTCCAGAGGCTCCTGTATTGCAGGCAGATTCTTTACCACTGAGCCACCAGGGAAGCCACACTATGGAATATTACTGAGCCATAAAAAATAATGAAATAAGGCCGTTTGCAGCAACATGGATGGATCCAGAGATTATCAGACTAAGTGAAGACAGAGAAAAACAATTATCCTATGATATCGCTTATATGTAGAACCTAAAAATGATACACATGAACTGATTTCCAAAACAAAACAGACTAACAGACATAGAAAACAAATGAACGGTTACCAAAGGGCAAAGTGGGGAAGGGATAAGCTATAAGTTTGAGATCAACATATACACACTACTATATATAAATTAAATAACTATTAAGGACCTACTATATAGCATAGGAACTATATTCTATATTTTGTAATAAACTCTATGGGGAAAGAATCTGAAAAAGAATAACTGACTCACATTCTTATACACCTGAAACTAACACAACATTGCAGATAAACTGTACTTTGATAAACACACACACACACCAAGGAGGGGAATGGGTAGAGGAGTGTTGGTTAACTTCAGGGGCAGCTGTCTGCTCTTGCGTGTGGTCTGCAGGATTCTAGATGATGGCAAAGCCTACACCCATAATCAGCAGTGTGCCAAAAATAATTTTGAAGGACGTTAATGGCATTACCCAGGATACTCCAAAGGCATAATCGAATTCAAAACTGCTGCCTTCTCCCTACTTTACCCTTAATAAAATCCAACAGTGAAAATTAATGTTGCCAAGTCTCTGTCCTGAAAATCCAGTTTTCGCAATTAACCAAGATAATAAAATTGTCTCGGCTGAAACCAAGACCTTGTCTGTAAGGGCTGCTCCGTGTCTGCAACCAAGAGGGACAGCAGGAAGTAAAATGGAAAATACACCAGAGCACTGCCAGTGAGGGAAGGGGTGTCAGGACTCAAGGTCATGCCAAGGCCACGTCATCAATCTGGCCGAGTTACCAACTTCTTGGCCTCTGCTACAGCACCTATAAAAAGGAATTACTGAGCCTAACTTATTGTGAGGAGGAGAACTGGAGATGAAGTTTGCTTTAAAGGGCTTCCCGGGTGGCTCAGATGATAAAGAATCCACCTGCAATGCAGGAGACCCAGGTTGGATCCCTGGGTTGGGAAGTTCCTCTGGAGAAGGGAATGGAGCCTAGTTTGCTGTGAGGAAGAGGGCTGGATAGAAGGTCGAAATTCTTTCAAATAAAAGAGAGGAAAGGAGAGAAGGAGGGAGGAAGAGAGGGAGGGTAGACTCTTATTTCCAGACAGACGTGTACTGAAATTAGCAACGAGTCTCCAGTGCTGGACGTTCTTTAGAAAGATCAAGGTTGTACACAGGAACTGTGTGTGAGAGTGTGGGATTCAGCCTGAGGACAGGAAATGCTGTGCAGATGCAGGTATCTGGGAAGGAAGGCCTCTCGGCCCTTTGAAGCTGTCTGCACTCACCGTAGTGCGGGATGATGCTCCAGGCCATGGCAGATGCGTAGATGCCACCAGTCATCCAGAAGATGCCCAGCCAACTGAGATGCTCTCCTCGCTTCTCCCGGGACAAGAATTCAGAAAAATAGGCAAACACGATGGGCAGAGCACCCCCAATACTGCAGAGAAAAAAACGCCAGAAAGGAAGAACCAAGTCAGACACTAAAAACAGTCAGACCAGGAACGCAATTGCCTTGTCCCGCCCTTGGGCCAAGTGGTAAAACAACCCAGTAAATTCAAAAGACCAGCCTAAGGCAGCGTTAGGTTCTTTTGACCTTATCCACTGACTTTGCAACCTAACCCCTTTCTAAGATTCAACCTTAACACAGTATCTTGGAAGTCACACAAGAATTCAGGAACTTACCTGGTGGTCCAGTGATTAAGACTCTGCCTTCCACTGCAGGAGGCATGGGTTCAATTCCTGGTTGGGGAACTAAGGTACCACATGCCGTGAGGTACAGCCAAAAATTTAAAAACAGAATTCAGTTCAAGGTTTTCTGGAGGACCACTCAGAGGCAGGGTACCAGGATGGATGGATGGTCTGGGGGCAGGAGGGGCCAGCTGAACCTCTGTGATTACGTACCCTATGCCTGAGATGAGTCTGCAGAAGAGGAAAGCTCCATATCCCTGCACGAAGGAGGAGAGGGAAGCAAAGGAAGCGTTGATGGCCAGGGAGATGCTGAGGACTCGCTTCCTCCCCAGCTTATCAGCCAGGCCCCCCAGGACAAAGGCTCCCCCCATCATTCCTAGGTAGACTATCAGCCCTGTGAGGAAGAGAAAGAGAGAAGGGAGGGTGGAGAGAGGAGACAAGAGATTAGAGACCATGCGATGTTTTAGAAAACATGATACCCATCTTAATGTATCCTAGAAATTCTGTGTCACAGACATAAAAGGTGGAGTGTGACAGATGTCGACGGCAAATTAGACATGTTGGACAAATGCGACTCCTGAGGAATGCTATTCAGAAAATAACAGCCTCACCAGGTTGACACATATGTACACGTGCTAAAATAGATCAACCAGAACTGGGTTTGACGTACCTTTCTTTGAAATGCGTAATGTGCAGCTGAAGGAAATTCTGTCATTTTTATTTTTAAACAAAAAAGTGGCAGTGCCTCAAATGTCCTTACCTGTGGGGTTGTGCTTAAAGACAAATTTCCCAGGAAAAAGTGTGGTGAGGCAGGTATGGGGACCATTGGGAAGGAAAAGACACGATGAGAGTGACAAGAGCAGTTACCAACAAGACAGTTCATCTTACTAAACCCCCAAGCAGGACCTTTTCCAAGCCACAACCCACGTTCAGATTTCCTTTTTTTTTATTGGACTATAATTACTTTAAATGTTGAGATTTCTCAGAAGAATCTAGAAGAGAGCAGCCATGAGCTAGCCTTTCTTCAACAGGTGTACCTACTACGTGCTTTGTAATACAATCAGTTACCCTGGTGGTGGTTTAGTCGCTCAGTTGTGTCTGACTCTTTGTGACCCCGTGAACTGTAGCCCGCCAGGCTCCTCTGTCCATGGGATTCTCCAGGCAAGGATACTGGAGTGGTTTGCCATTTCCTCTTCCAGGGGATTTTCCTCACCCAGGAAGTGAACCCAGGTCTCCTGCATTGGCAGGCGGATTCTTTACCACTGAGCCACCGGGGAAGCCCCATCAGTTACCTTAAGATACAGGAATATAAATAAATACACTGTTGTAGACACATTTATGGAATTCCAGTGAAACCAGCATCCTCATAGAGGTGGCAGGTCTCTAGAAGAACAAGGATAATTCTTTCCAACTAAAATCTGAATACTTACTATTTATCAATGATGGTTGCTAAGAATATATTGATACATTATTGACAAACCCAAGAAGGAAGTTTTGGAGAGCGTCTTTCACCCAGTGGAAATCCTGAACACAAATCAGGTGTCCTTTGCTCAACCTTGACTGTAAATCAGATGAAGAAGATCATTTATCTTTCACGGAAAGGAAGCTTCTCCTGACCCGTGGATGCTTTATTTAGGCAGATGTGTGCTGGGAAGGGCCCATGTACAGCCAAAATCTTCATTAGCTGTTTAATCAGCTTGAAGGGTGGGCCCCAAAAGGAGCAAATGAAGTATGCTCTGCTTTATCTTCCCAGTGGCAGATTCCCTTCTTTTATTATTTTATTTTATGAGCTGAAAGAAGATAACTTTGGTGCTGTCAGTGGTTTTCACTAACTAGGATTTCCTTCACTCACATGCCTTTTCACTTTTCACCTCTACATAACTCAAAGCCATGAAATAAGCTATTTCCTTTTTCCTTTCCACATATGACATCAGTCAAGGAAACACACCTATGAGTCTACAGGCATTCATTCAATGCCTGTTATTAGTTAAGTGCTATTTCGTGGTGCTAGTGGTAAAGAACACACCTGTCAATGCAAAAAAATAAGAAACTCGGGTTCAATCCCTGGGTCATGAAGAATCCCCTGGAGGAGGGCATGGCAACCCACTCCACTATTCTTGCCTGGGATATCCCATGGACAGAGGAGCCTGGCGGGCTACAGTCCATGGGGTCACAAAGAGTCGGACATGACTGAAGTGACTGAGCCCATGTTTCCATTACTGGGAACACAGCAGGATACAAACGCATGAAAATCCCTGCCTTCATGGCCCTTACATTCTAATTGGGAAAAGACATGATGATAAATAAGTGAGTGAAATAAACAGTAAGTGGGTTGCTGAAAGCGATACAAAGAAAAATAACACAGAGGCAGGGACAGGGAGAATCAGAGTGGGAGGTGACATTTCCAAATAAGATGGTTCAGAGATCCCTTGGGGAACTGGGACATTTGGGCAAAGACCTGCAGTGAGTCAGATATGGCGATGTCTAGGGGAAAGTGCTGTACCTATGCTCCTGGGCTCAAGGTTTTTCCTCCACGACTATTTTACCAGTTTCCCAGCCCACAGCTTAGAAAATACAGTGAGCAATCTCCCACTTTATTAGGTCATTGACATCTGTGTTTGAGAAAATGAGCCAAGACTTGCAAACCCAGTCAGGCCTGGGTCATGCTGTATTGTAATGATGTCTGGTTAGTGTTCCCACTAGACTCTGAGTTTATCTGCCTGATTCAGCCCTGAGCAGCCAAGGGCTTTCAGCATCTGGCTCCTGGCAGACTTAATCTTGCCCAGTTCTTCGCCATTGAGTGTTATGTCTCAATGCCTTACTCACTGATGAGGATGTCTTAAAACCATCTTCTGTGGCCATGACCCGTCTCTATCAAGAATGAACTGGGGGCTTCCCTGGTTGAGAATCCACCATGCAATGCAGGGGACATTGGTTGGAGCTCTGGTCCAGGCAGATCCCACTTGCTTCGGGGCGATTAAGCCTGTGAGCAGCAACTACTGACCTGCCTGCCTAGAGCCTGTGCTCCCCACCAAGAGACGCCACCGCAATGAGAGGCCCTCACACCACAACGAGAGAGTAGCCTTCACTCGCTGCAACCAGACAAAGCCTGTGCACAGCAATAAAGACCCAGCACAGCCAAAAAGAAACAAAATAGAAGTAAATAAGTATTTTAAAAAAGAATGCACTGAGTCCTGTGCCTGGGTCGGGCTGTAGCTTTCCTGTTACTCTCACCAGGTGTGCTAGTCTGCAAGACTGGATTTCTGCCTGGTGTCCATGCTCGTTTCCTACCAGCATCTGAGGCCCCAACCAATTAGAAAAGTCCCAAACCCTGCCCCTGCCCGACCAGGCCCTCCCCAGGAAAGAACTGGGTTCTATTTGCCCAGACTCAGACAACATACCTAACACGACACCCGTGGCCAGAGCCCCACATGTGAGATGCCCTGCCCTTCTTCTCCCCCTGGGAGGTCACCACCAGCCCAGTTTTACATTTACATTTACATTACACCAGCCCACGCTGGAGTTTTACATCATTCCTTATGCTTGGTAATTCAGGCTTCTAGACCAGAGCAGAGAGGGAGCTATTTTCCCCATGTAGGTATGTGCAGCTTCCAAGTTTGGCTGGCCTCATTTTAGTACAACTCCCTGCCTAGATGCTAGGGAAGACTGTGGGCAGGAGGAGGCGGGGGTGGCAAAGGAGGAGATGGTTGGATGGCATCACCAACTCAAGTGGACATGATGAGTTTGAGCAAACTCGGGGAGGTAGTGAAGGACAGGGGAGCCTGGTGTGCTGCAGTCCACGGGGCTGCAAAGAGGACATGACCAAGCAACTGAACAATAACTGCCTAGAATTTCCAGCATCCCATTCAGCCAACAAATGACTTGTGTTGGTCTCGTGATACCTGGTTAGTAAACACTTGGAATAAAGAAAGAGATATTGAAAGGGAGGAAGGGGGTCCAGTGGTTAAGAATCAACCTTGCAATGCAGGAGACGCAGGTTTGATCCCTCGTCAGGGAACTGAGATCTCACATGACCCAAGAAACTAAGCCTGTGAGTCGAAACTGGAAGGTCCATGAGCCTCAGTGAAGATCCCACATGCTGCAACTAGGACCAGACACAGTCAAATAAATAAATAGATATTTAGGGGAATAAAGGAAGGGAGGAAAGGGGAAGGGAGGAGGAGGAGATTCCCACTGAAAATACAGATCCGTGAGCAAAGCAGATGCTACAGTGGCTTTAGGCCACCGAGTTATACAGGAGTAGATAATGGGGTAGCAGGTGTATACTTGGACCAGTGATGCTGAAGAAGCTGAACGGTTCTATGAAGATGTACAAGACCTTCTAGAACTAACACCCAAAAAAGATGTCCTCTTCCTTATAGGGGCCTGGAATACAAAAGTAGGAAATCAAGAAACACTTGGAGTAAAGGGCAAATTTGGCCTTGGAGTACAAAATGAAGCAGGACAAAGGCTAATAGAGTTTTGCCAAGAGAACACACTGGTCACAGCAAAGACCCTCTTCCAGCAACACAAGAGAAGACTCTACACATGGACATCACCAGATGGTCAATACCAAAATCAGATTGATTATATTCTTTGCAGCCAAAGATGGAGAAGCTCTATACAGTCAGCAAAAACCAAGACCAGGAGCTGACTGTGGCTCAGATCATGAAACCCTTATTGCCAAATTCAGTCATAGATTGAAGAAAGTAGGGAAAACCACTAGACCATTCAGGTATGACCTAAATCAAATCCCTTATGATTATACAGCGTAAGTGACAAATAGATTTAAGGGACTAGATCTGATAGACAGAATGCCTGAAGAACTATGGACGGAGGTTTGTGACATTGTACAAGAGGCAGTGATCAAGACCATCCCCAAGAAAAAGAAATGCAAAAAAGCAAAATGGTTGTCTGAGGAGGCCTTACAAATAGCTGAGAAAACAAGAGAAGCTGAAGGCAAAGGAGAAAAGGAAAGATACACCCATCTGAATGCAGAATTCCAAAGAATAGCAAGGAGAGATAAGAAAGCTTTCCTCAGTGATCAGCTCAAAGAAACAGAGGGAAACAATCGAATAGGAAAGACTAGAGATCTCTTCAAGAAAATTAGAGATACCAAGGGAACATTTCATGCA